AAAGTGTCAAGAAAGGTTGTCTAGCAAAGAGTGTCAAGAAACAGTGTCAAGCAAGAGTGTCCGCAGGGCTGGGGGGGTGCTGGCGCTGCTTTAGTTGATGACTCTGCGAGTCATCTCCGAAAACAAGAACGCTTTGAGTGCTACGCTTCTATACAAAGTGACTGCATTCGGGTTCGTGGGTTCTATCAGGTTTTTTTTGTGTTGCATCGTTGGCTTCGACTAAAGACCTAGAGGATCCAGGCCAGTGGCAGCGGGCGCTGCAGATTGTCGTTGGCGTGGAAGAGGCCGAGTGGGTCAGCAGTCAGGCGGACCCGCGAAATCACCGGTGCAGTTGATATTTGGATTAACGCACTTTAAACACCACTTATTCCTCATCAATACTCATGAATCCATGAACATAGATCTCCTCTATGCATGACTAGGCACTTTGTGCGAGCTGGCAAGTAGCTCTGCAATTCGCTCGGTCAGAGAGCTTTTGGCTGCACTTGAGGCATGCGCATGCCCGCTTTTTTCAAAGTGTTTGTCCTGTCATATGATATCCATATGCGAGGCCTGTGTGGCCACGTGCACGTTCATATGTGTAAGGAGTATGCTGACCAGCCTGGCCGCTGCGCTCCCGGCTTCCCTGTGGCAGATCTCCTTGCAGCTTCCGCTGGGTATGGAGCACTGCTCCCTGCTACAGTGCAACATTGCCACTGGCTGAGACGCTGAGACCGACATAAGTGGCCCAAGAAATGCAAAGATACCAAGGCCATAGCTGCATGCCAAGCTGCTTGGCAGAGATCGCTCCAAATGTTAGGCCGGTCAGCTTCAATTTGGAGATGGCAACTCGAGTTGGCATCAATGCGGCTGCTTTCAGGTTCCATATCTTGACCATATTCCTGTGCAGACTTCTTGGCTCTGTCAGTGGCCTGATTTGACCTGGTTGCAGGTGATGCCCGCTGTTCTCATCTAGAGCTTGACCAGAGCCTTAGCTGTGGGCAGCACTGACTGAGAACATTGAGAAAGGATTAGTCAAATGGATTTAAATGGATTATCTAATGATTAATGAGTCTGATGACTAGTGCAGTTTGATGCCGTTCTATTGTTTGTCGTGAGTTGGGATGGTGTCAAGAAGTGTTTACTAGATGAGGACAAGCTTCAACTCGGCCCTTGCTGCAGACTCGTTCCAGTGGCAGAGGGGAGGGGTTCTCCTTGAGCAGATGGCGTGGTACCAGTTGCCAGGTGACAACATTTAACTGCTGACGGGTTTAGGTTCATGTGTTCCTTTGGCTGAGAGAGGGGCTTGCCAATTCATAAGATGTTGTTGGCTGAGGTTAGAGAGAGGGTTGATCAGCTGGAACACCTTGATCAGTGCGAGCAAGAGCAAGTGGACGGCTACCTTGAGCCTCCTGTGCATCTTGGACTTGCATGAAGGTGCAGTAGATGTTTTGTCATAATGTTTTGGCTTTCAAGTTGGTGTGTCTGTTGGTAACGGGAGGCAAACGTGACTGGACTCGACCTCTCTGTTGGACGATGGAATGAGTGTTCACCTATTCACCGTGCAGTACCCGCCTGCCCGCCTTCTCCTTTCACCTTGCCATGGCTGCATCCAATGACACGTTTATAATTTATAGTATTTTATAATCGTTTATATACGTAATTATACGTTTAGTATTATTTCTATTTATTCTTATTATTTCGCTATTCTTTTAATCAACCATCGCTCAGGTCAATTACCAAGCGCCACCATCAGCGGGGACCTTGTGAGTTTCAACAGCTGCCTTCCCAGCATCTCCTGGCAAATGGTGTTGAAACTCATGCACAAAATGCAACACTTGGCACAGGCACCCCACATGCCACAGGCGCCAGATGTGCTGTGTTGCAACTTGGCGCTGGGAAAGCTCAGGGAAAGCTGGCTGTCAGCCTTGGGTTTGCTGACGGCGATGCCACTATGGCGAGTGCATGCAGATGAAGTGAGCTCTTGGGCTGGCGTTATGGCTGTCAGGTCTTGCCAAATATACTCTCGACTAGTGACAAAGGAGTTGTAAAACGTATGGTGGGTTTTACAACTCCTTTGTCATGGGTCTTAAAGCATTTTTGAGCAATGTACACAACTCCTATGTCATGGACTTTAAAGTAGAGAAACACATCAAAACATGGTCACGCAAGAACAGCTTTAAACAAAAAAACAGAAAGCTGCCGGAAAAGATGAATAAATGACGTGAGATAGGAGTTGTAAGTACCAGGAGGCATGATGAAACATGATGAGATAGGAAAGGGATTAGAAAAAAACATATATTACAAACTTCTTATGTCATGTAACCAGGTTCAGTCGAAAGAGCTTAAGGCGTTGCGACAATTCCCAAGTCATGAGGCTTGAATCAGCAGCTCTGCAATTTGTGTGTTCCCAATGACTTAGGAGTAGTGGGCCATAACTACTATGTCACTGGCCCACACAAGTCCTAAGTCACCGGTCGGTAGTATACTTGAGAAGATCTGGCACATGTCCGTCATGCCTGGTCAGCCCAAGTCTCTACTTGGACTCTTTGGGACCAATCATACGCCACATACAATGACACACACACACACGTGATATATGTGCTTCGCACATATATAGGGGATAACGAATTGATTGCATGAGGAGGGAGCCTATGATATGCCATCCTCTTGTGGTTTAGACCATTTCCATGCCATCTACCCCCGCACTACAGAAATGTGAAAGATGTAGATGGCATACACTGCAAATAGAGCTCAAAAGCATTGCAAGACTTCAAGAAAATGCAAGAAATGTCAGCAAATGTCGCTTGATCCGTGGATCTTTGGATGTCGTTTTGTAAGAATGCGCACGTGTTGATGGCATTTGGTGTCCAACGGGAAGCATGTTTTCTTCAAAAAACGCCGCTAAACCACGTTCCCGCCCTGGCCACACCTAGATGGCATACGCAGCTCATCCATGGAAGCCAGGACATGAAGGAATATGACACAGGGAGACACAGAGAAATCCGAAAAGGGTTCGCCGGTTTACCTTGACCCGGCGGCTTCCATGGGCACAGCCGAAAGGCCAACCGGTCTCCCTGTGTCTCCCCCGTTAAGGGAATAGACACAGAGACAGGGGGAGAGGAGAAAAAGTGTAGAAAAAGTAGCGGGTTAATTTTTAATTCTTAGTTATTTGGCTGGTCTACTGTATATCTTTCCGAAGAGGGAAAGACCTTGGGTGCAAACGTTGCTTCCCACAACCCCCTTACAACAAATGCAAACAATGCAGATGAACGTTGCTGAAACCACCCCGGCTTTTCAGGAACACATAGATGGCAGTCTCGAACAACACATGGGTCCCGGTAAGAGTAATTCAACCCTCCATTTCCATCTACCATCTACTTGTGCCGAGCCAAAAATGCCATCCACCCGTTATCCCCTATATATATAGTATATATGACTATTCATTCTTGCTACTAGTAACAAGTACATCGCCACTAGTAACAAGAAGTTACCAGCTTTACTGTAATTCAATATGTGGCTTTAAATGGTTTGACATTCTATACGAGGCTACATCTCGTCCATCTCGGTCTGCGGCACCCAAAGTCTCTGGGAATTGGCTTCGCACATGTTGTGGCAAATGGAGCGGCTGAGGCTGGGGAAGTTTACTCATGCGTCCTATGGCCTTCGTGTCTGCTTCGAGCAGTATTTAGTCAATTGCATTCCGAAATTTCAGTTGTCGTTGTACTGCAGCAACTTACCTTAAGAGCTGTTGCTGCCGCCTTGTGCAGAGAGCATGCCATCTGATTGAAGCCTGTAGGTTGTCATTACACAATGCCTCCAGTGCTGCAATTGGCTCCTTTGCAGAGGTCAGAGTGGGTTCCAAAAAGCGTTTTCTTCTCGTTGTGGGGAGGCGTTCAACAACTCCCCGCATTTCTTGGCAGATCGTGTGAGAGTGTGAGCGGGCATTCCCAAAGAGACAGGAACGGCTCCATGAGATTTTCAGAGAGGGGTAAAGAGTGAGAGCGCGTACGCCGCATATGATTTTAAATGAATTTAATTGGAATGTATAACTACACTATAAGTGCAAAATAATTCAGACATCACAGGAGGTCATACAGATACTTATTATGGAAGATCAATGTGCCCATCAGGCTGGTCGCTGGCAGCTGGCTTTGCATTTGTTGTGCGTAATGGAGAAGCTAAAGGTCACGGACGCTGTCAGTGCCTGGTCTTATTTATATAGTCTTGAGGATAGCGATCAGAGGCTCTCTGCGAACTGTGCGCCATTGACTGATTTTAAATTACAATGCCTAGAGAAGTTGCAGAAGTTGCAACTTCAGCTTCGCTTTGATTTGGGATGATTTGGGTTAAGGACCTAGGATATTTTCTGAGCTTCTTATCTCTTCTTGCACGGCCTTGCTTGTCCAAACAGGTCTTATACTTTACGTCCAGCAGAAGTTCGGTCATGCACAGCCTTTGCTTGCTAAACATGCCGAGGTTACACGGTTTGCATCGATGCATGTGCAAAGGCGGAGCGGCACCGCAGCCTGAGAAGAGAAATGCCGTGCAGGGCGATGTGCGCACCGCTGGGTCTACTACCATCATCTAGTGTATTTCTCTTTGTTATAGGGTTGGAGGCCATCGCTATTAGGTTGGAGGCCATTCTCTTTGTAGGGCGGATGCCTGGAAGACCTGCCAACATGATGTTCATAAGGTTCCTTTGGGGGTCAAACCTTCTCGAACGTGACCTTCTGAATCCCTACGGGACCAGTGCTCACATCTCATTGACCAGTTTCTTTCGAAGTGTTTACGACCGGACCTGTCACAGCTGACCATAGCCAATAGGTGGATTGGCCCAAAAAAGTTGCGGTTGTGCAAGCCAGTGTTGCATATTTGATTAGTTATATATGATATGACATGATATGATATGTGTGATATGTACATGTTTTTAAAGCACGCATCACCATCAATTACTTGATATTGATTTGTGTTTGCCTACTTTCCTACTTTCCCAACTACAAATGATCCCTTTGGCCGCCATGGCACCCCGCTGGCGGGCGACCTTGCGCCGACACTTCTCGGACTTGACGTCGCCCTGGCAGATCCTCCGCCGCTGGAAGGATCTCGGCGGTCGGGGGAGTGAGACGTTTCAAAAGGAAAGACGTTTTTGTATGCTTTTTCCGCTATTAGGTTGGAGGCCGTGGCTATTGGGTGGGAGGCATTGTCAATATGGAATTTGGAGACCAAAGCCTTATTCTGGTGACAAATTGCCGGGATGTCGTTGAAACTGAAACTAGCTGCCAATCTAAAAGTCTCAATCATGACTTCCTTGGAAGACTTCAAGATCCCAAATGTCACTCCCAAGACTTCTGTGTGGGGAGGAGGAGGGCAAAGCCGCAGCAGACCACGTCGGGGCTTTGTACAACCTTGGCCGGATCACTCGAGGGCGAGGCACCAGTGAGAGTAAGGCGTGGAAGACGCTTCGGAGATCGGCGATGGCCATTCCGTGGCCTGGAAAGGAGCGATGACCTGATGGGTGTTTCCAAACGGAACTGCCAGCCCAAACAGCGGCCAACCGGTTTTCAGGCCCACGAGGTACCTCAAATAGATCTAGGCAATATAAAACGACGTCACCGACGTCACCTGAAATTAACGAGCAAGCTGAAATTAAGGTATATGGTCATACTAACATCACACACAGACACACGCAAAACACACACACACACACTTCATCGACTTCACAGTCCTGGCAGAGATTTTGGAGGCGCGGGCGGGCGTGGGCACTGGATCTAGGACTGGATTTGCATGGGGAAGAGAATGTCAGTCAGTTGGAGTTTTGCTTGAGTTTTCGGGCTCGAGTTTGCCAAAAAATAAGAAGTCATGCCTCACCTGCTCACTCTCCACGCCACTAAAAAACACTGCCCAATTTCGAGGTCGGGAAGTTTTGAAGTTCTTTTAGTTGTGCCCCCCATGAAGCGGCCCTCCAGCCATGATGAGTGCCCAACAACACCTACGGACCGCGTTCGGCCAAGCGTGTTCCCTAGCCCCAAAGCCTCTCAGAGACGGACCATTCAGCCAGATCTTGTGGACGGAAAAGATCCTTGGAACTTGAAGTAGTGATGGTTTGGTTGTTTTCCCTTTCACACCCAACCTGACTGGTTCTTTCCTGGCCAAATCGTTTTTGGGCCTAGTTCGCCGAACTAGGATTTGAGGCCTGGCGGCCTTGAAAGTGGATTGTTGGGGCTTTATTAGGTTGTAGCTCGGCAAACTACGCTGGGAAAAATTGGTTTTGGCTAG